ATGCCAAAATTTGCGTTTGGAGGACCAMACGAAACACTAATTTCCAGCTCAATTTTTAGCGTCAAAACATTTTGTAGCAAAAAGTCCACTTCACTTGCAAACCCCTTTGATAGCACGTCCTCATTTTGCCGTTTTTATTCTGTCAAAGTCACTGCAGACCTCTCAACAGCGCTCTTTTGAGCACCCAATACAACAAACTCCTATGCACGACCGAAATGCATCTTGGGAAGAAATTGGCAGTCTCTAATAATCGAACAGGGATATTTCTTGTCTCGTAGATGTCTGTCAAGGCTTGCCATCATTACTTTTAGGTTCATGTTGGTCGCCATTCTTGTTTGTAACCTCTCCGTAAAAGCATTGAAGGATTTCGTCAAGTACTTTTGGCGGATGTTGTTCAATAATTGGGTCTACGTTTCGCTCCTCTGCCCAGCTATTCCACACTGTTAACCAGGTTTGAGTACTTTTTTGGTGTTTGTATTTGTTACTTTTTCTCTTAATATTACTATTTCGGCAGGAGTCAGATTAGTCAAAAAATCTTGTTTTACTTTAAATGTATTTTTCAATACCTGAGTGGCTTCGTTTCTGTCTAACACTTTTCTAAACATAGCTTTTGTTATAACTTGKCAGTTATAATTGCTGGTATACACTGGGACTGACTGTGTGATACCTTCAAACTATTGTATACTTGGCTTGGCTTCTGTGAAAACAGCGACATGCTTTCTTCTGTTGTTTCTTTATTGTCACTACTCTCAATATCTTGAGTAGAGTTTGAAGCAGTCGATTCTTCAAACTGATCACTCTGCAAGCAACTAACTAGTATAGTAACGTAATTTACCAGACTCAACATTGTTTCAATAAGTAAGAATGTATAAATGCAATTTAACAAAAACAAAAAATACTTCTATGACCTCTTCGAGAGATGACAAGTCATTTATAGTTCAAGTTCCCTCATCATTACTACACTCTTCATTGCTTGGGTTTTTGTTGTAATGACATTCCCATTGTATCCCATTGCTTGGGGTTTTGTTGTAATTACATTCCCATTGTATCGCATTGATTGAGTTTTTGTTGTAATCATATTTCCATTGTATCTCATTGATTGGGTTTTTGTTGTAATTACATTCCCATTGTATCCCATTGATTGGGTTTTTATTGTAATTACATTCCCATTGTATCACATTGATTGGGTTTTTGTTGTAATTACATTCCCATTGTATCCCATTACTTGGGTTTTTGTTGTAATTACATTCCCATTGTATCCCATTACTTGGGGTTTTGTTGTAATTACATTCCCATTGTATCCCATTACTTGGGGTTTTGTTGTAATTACATTCCCATTGTATCCC